TAGGCCTCCTTCCTCTCTGCTATTCTAATTTTTTCCCACTAGCTTCATGATTGGGTTAATTAGGTGTTTGCGTAGGGAAAAGATAAGCATCAATTTCTGAAATTCCAAGAAGGCAAGGAACAGCACAGAGACCTTTGGCAGATGATAGGGAAGGGAGGCTCACGTAGGTAAGCACTGTAATGGAAATTTTGAATCTTGGTTTGTCCTGGTACAACTGTGGTCCCAGGAGATACTTGTTTTTCACAGTTTTGTCTAATATAAACTTACATAAAGCCTCCAATTTTGCCAAGATAGAGAATTAACCTGGGCTGACTGCTGACCCCAAGATCAGTCTTGGAGAAACTAAAGTGGAAAACCATCATGAAATAGGAAATAATGGGAAAGAAGTAAAACAAAACAGAGAAATCCCTGGGGGACAGTAAAGCCTGTTTTGAACTAGTGTGTGTATGTGTGTGCATCTCCTGGTGGAGGAGACTTCTATGGAGATTACCAACAGAAGCTCAGATTGCTGGTATACGTGTCCTCAAGGATGACAATCAGACTGAAGGGAAGCTAGAATGTAGAAAACTGGTGAGGATTGACTGACCTTGATCATTTACTCACTTCTGTCTCCCAAATCTCTCCAGCTTCTTGGGCTAGTGAATTATTAGTTAGGAGTACCTCCTTCTTAAGGTTACTTCTCCTTGAGGGGTGGAAAGTGGAGTGGGTCTCACAGTAGGGCCCTGACTTGAAGAAATATTTGGGGGCATGACACCCAGCCTGAGCAATTAGTTATGGTAGTCTGGTGCTTGGAGCTCTTCACTCTAGGGTTATCTCCTCCCCTCTCCTTGATCGCACTGGATGTTAACATAGATTGGGCTCTGCTCTTTGGTCTTTTCCCATACCAAATGCTCAGACAGAATAGCTGATAACATCAGAGAAATATCTGTTCATAGGTGGAAGTAAGGAGAGGTCTAAAGAGCATAACTACTTCAAAAGAAAAGAACAACCTTGATTATAGATGCCACCAGAAGCAAATATATTAAATGGTTAACAAAAATCTATAATAATAAAAGCATAATATGCAAATTGACTGAGCAACTGAACAGCAGAACAACTGTCTGGATGACCTTCCAGATGACAACGCTATGTATGACACACACTGGCTCCAGGCCAGCCAAGGCGGGTGCAATTCGATTGGTTAGGGGGCCCTGCCATCACCCCACGATTACCCCACAGAGGGAGGCCCAGGCCAGCCAAGCTATCGCACCCCATGCCTGTTGCCTGCAGAGGGAGGTGACTGGAGGTGGGGGAGAGAGGACAGCACCACACAGATGGCAAGCAGTGGCAGCAAGGGGGGCAGGACCAGATGCCAGCAGCCGTGGGAAGGAAAGTCCCAATAGGCCCTGATCGCCAGCCAGACCTAGGGACCCTACCCAAGGGATCCCAGATTGCGAGAGGGTGCAGGCTGGGCTGAAGGACATACCCGTGCACTAATTTCATGCACTGGGCCTCTAGTAACAATAATAAATAAGGAAATCATAAAAGAGGAAATATTAGGCAATATGTAATAGTAGAGATGACCTCAGATGAGATAGATATGGTTAAAAAGAAAATTAGTGAGCTGAAGACCTGATTAAGGAGCTTTTCTAGAATGAAGCAAGAAAGAATAAAGAAAAAGAATATATAAAATAAAGTTAAGAGATAAAATTGTGTTGGAATACAAACTTGAACTTATAGATAATAGGAGTGTCAGGGAGAGAGAAAAATAAAAATGGACAAGAGGAAGTATTTGAAGAAATGGAAATTAATTTCCCAGAATTAAAGAAAAAAGAAAGAACTCATATTTATTTATGTACTATCATACAAGAGTGATAAATAGAAACTAACCCTGGTAATATTATCATGAAATTAAAGTTTTTACAGGCAAAGATAAAATTCTAAAAGTTTTGAGAGACAGAGCAGATCAAATGTAATGAAACAAAAATCATCAGGATCTCAGACTTTTCAAGAATAACAAGAAGACAATGATAATATTTTTAAAGTACTGAAAAGACAAAAGAACTTTGAGACTAGATTTATATCCAGCCAAATTGTCATTTAGATGTGAAGGTATAATAAAAATGTTTTAAGGCTATAAGGCCTCACAAGGTTTGTCACACAGAGACCTACATGGAAAACAGTACTGGAAAAAGATACTCAAATAAGAAAAGAAAATCCAGGAAATGCTGGTAGAGATGTATTACGTAAATATAACCAAACGCCTGGAAAAAGTTTGCTGTTGTTTTTCAAAAACTAGTGAGGCCCAAAAGAAAAAGAAAATGAGGAAGTAACCTAGACTTAAATTCTACACAATATCAAAAGGTGTTGTCCTTAAGTTAGACATTTTTAAGGTAGATAAATAAAACAGGATACATTAAAGAAAATAGAAGGAAGGAGGTGGCAGATTAATGGGGAGTGGAGAGACTATTCCATAAATGGATTTATAAAATATGGTTATTTATCTGGAAAAATGATATTGACCCTTACTTCATATCAATTGTAAAAATGAACTCCAGATAAGTTAAGAACTTCAATGTTAAAAGTAAATTTTACTAATTTTATTAGAAAATATAGGTAAATACCTTTCTGATTTGGGGGCTAGGGAAGCATTTATTAAAGACATATATAAAAGCCTGTAACCATAAAATATGAATAAATGTGACTATATTAAAATTAAGATCTGAACACTAACAAATATCTTGCAAAAAGAAAAGAGAGAAGGTACTACCCAGCTGGCATGGCTCAAAGGTTGAACATCAACCTATGAACCAAAAGGTCACTGGTTCTATCCCCGGTTAGAGCACATGCATAGGGGGGCTCGATCCCCAATAGGGGGCATGCAGGAGGCAGCCAATCCATGATTCTCTCTCATCATGGATGTTTCCATCTCTTCCTCCCTCTCCCTTCCTTGCTGAAATCAATAAAAAAATATAAATATATATTTTAAAAAAGAGAGAGAAGGTACCAACTGGATGAAGATATTTGCAACTCAATCAGTAACGAATTCATAGCATGAATATTTAAAGGTTTCCTCAAATTAATAAGGAAACGATAATCCAATAGAAAATGGACAAGATATATAAACAGGAATTTCACAGAGGAGAAATCACATATAATCAATAAAATATTTATGAGATGTTACTTATTGTTTGGGAAAGACAAATTAAAATCACAATGTGATACCAATTTATACCCATTCAATTGGCAAAAATTAAAAATTATGACAATGACAAGTATTAGAGAGAATGTAAATTAATAGGGTTTCTTATACAAACTCTTGGGAGTGAAAATGGGCATGACCACTTTGGAAAGTTTTTCATTATCTAAATGTTGAATATTTCTATATTCTATAATTCAGCAATTCTACTTCTAGGTATATACCTAAGAAAACCTCTGTGTACATTGGAAACATAAGCAAGAATGTTTCCTGCAGCACTTACTGCACAGTAAGATAAATACCTTAACCCAAATACTTAGTCATAGGAAATGGATAAATAAATTGTGGTAAATTTATACAGTGGCATATTATATAGCACAATAAATAGCTATAAGAAAGAATATGAATATGAATATGAATAATGAGCAATACAATCTTTAAAAAAAGAAGCTCCTAAAGATTTTATAAAGCCTGCCAACCTTTTTATAATGTTAAAAACAAAAAAAATGAACACTATAATTTTTAGGAATACAAATATGTTATAAATATATAATTTGAAAAACATATTTTAATAATAACTGCAAGATTCAAGGAAGGGGAAGAAGTAGAGGAATAGATTGGGGAGAAGATCATAGGTGTGTGTAAATGATGGTTAATGTTCTAATTGTTTTTTAATCCTCACCCAAGGATATTTTTCCATTGATTTTTAGAGAGAGTGGAAGGGAGAGGGAAAGACACACAGAGAGAAACATCAGTGTGAGAGAGATACATCAATTGGTTGCCAGGGATTGAGCCTGCAACCGAGGTACGTACCCTTGACCGGAATCAAACCCGGGACCCTTCAGTCTACAGCTGGACGCTCTATCCACTGAGCCAAATTGGCTAAGGCAGTGTTCTAATTCTTATCTTGGGTGGTTGTTCACAACTATTTACATTATTAATAACAAGAAATAAGTACACAGTATGTATAAATAGAAACAAAGAGGGCCATGCTTAGGCAAGTGATGAAAGTGTGTCATGAATGCAAGATAATCCAATTCTGTGCACTTGAGTGGGAAACAAAGAACAGCATCTACTTCCCCACTATGTTTCGCTTTTATTATTAGTTATCATTAAGCCACACAAATATCTTGTTTTTAGTTACTAATATAATCCCCTTTTTATGAATCAAATCTTAGTGAATTAACATAATTCGTTTGAGTCCACAAAGCTAGCATCTGATAGAATCCAGAATTTGAAGTCTCAGCTGTTTGACTGTAAGGCTTAGCACTTAACAACTGGGCTAGGCTCCTGGTTACTAAGACTATTTTACTCACTGAGATATCAACAAAGAGCAGTTATTCTGCTGAAGGTAACAATCTCTTGATAGGTCAAGGTAGGAGTTCACCTAACATTTAATTATTTTGCCATACAGGTATGCCATGGCAAGTTGAAGAATTTACACATGCATGTCATAATGGAAAAGCTGTGTTCAAATGAAGTCACATATCATATCATTGAATAAGAATTTGAATGCAAGAGAGCTCAAGTAAGAAATGTCATTCTCTGTTGGATCAGAAGTGATTCATTTCTCTAGTCCAAAAAATGATCCTTTTTCATATGTCCACACAAGAATGTAAAAATAGAGTGCTTGCAAAACCTTTTCAGTGTTTGTAAATTTTTTCTACACCTAATTTTTTCGACTTTGTGACCTCTTCTTTAAAGAACACCAATTTGAAGCTAATGCCCCCGCTACTGGTTAGCCATATTTTGTCATAAATGTCTTCCTAAACAGCATCCATCTATCCCTGTGAGTAAAGATAATTTGATGCTTTTTTTTTTCACATGTGGGAGCCAATCTCTGATGCAGAAAAGGCCAGAAAGAGACCTCTTTGTCATCAAGCCTTTCCCAGCTTCTATATAATATATGTGGCAGAGTCAGGCCCATTTGAAAACTTAACAAATGTGCCAGGAAGAAAACCAGCACATGATGCTTATTTTTAGTGCCCTTATTTATTTGGGAGGGCAGAGTCGACAGTGAGAAAGAGAGAGGTGTATGTATTTTTATGTGAAGAAGACAGAATGCCACCAAGAACCTGGTTTGTGGGCAGATGCCATATTATGACTTGTACAAAAACGTTGGGGGAAGAATATTAGAGGTGTGGAAGTCAGATTGAGAAGCAGCACCTAAAGCTTTTGCTCTATAGCTAAAAATTCTATTAATTTTCAACTTAGCATCAAATTAAATTTATTATGTACCCTCACAGACACCTGGCTTTTGGGTATATCTCTTCCCTATTTCTCCTGAAGTTGGTGCTCTCATTTCCTTCCTGTGTTTACATGTCAAATCTATTCATCAGAGTAAAATGAGGACCTCTGAGGGCAGAAATCACATTTAATTTTCTGTTAGGTTCAACCCCCAATTCCCAAGTAGTGCATACCACATGGTAAATAACAATTACGCTACTTAGCTACCCCTTTCAAATTGCCATGTTAAGAACAAAAAACAGCCCCATCCAGTAGCCCAAGGAAATCCAAATGAAAAGGATGAAAGAAGATACTGACCACTCCCCAGAAGACTAAATACAGTAATTCTATTGTTTTGCCCATAATCACTGACCAGAAACATTTCAGGATATGTTGGTTCTAAGACATGGATATTCAATAATCAAGTTCAGAAAACATCTATTAAAATGGCTTCCCTTTCCCTTCACTCCTGAATCTCCAAATCCCTAAATACCAAAGAAGGTGAACAATATGCTTTCTAAAACTATTTTCAACTCATACAGTATTTGACCACAAAAACCTGACAGAAAATTTAGGAGCAACTCTGAGCATCAAGAAGCTAGCTACATCGCAGTTAGATTCTGTGGGTGTGGAGCTAAGAGCCTTGGGTTATGGTCTTGGCTTCACCAAGTTGTAGGTAGGTAACTATTGGATGGTCACCTGAGTTCAGTTTGTGTCTCAGTTTGCTTATATGCAAAGTAGTAATAATCATATCTGTTTTATATGCTAGCTTCACTGGGTAGGCAGGTCATGCGTGGGAAATCACTTTATAGACTATTCCTAGGTCCTCTTCTCTGTATTCTTTGCGGAGTGGAGTAGAGGGGTCACTCTTTCTACTCCATTATGCATCTATATACTGAAAACATCTGACTGCCCTCAGTCTGAGGCAAGTGAGGCCTGCCCTGGCTTTAGAGGGCCTCGAATGTCACAATGCACCTTACCCTGGACCCACTCACCCCTTGCCTCCAAATTTATTTTTTTAATTAACAATTTTTAATTGATTGATTTTTTTTAGAGAGAGAGAGAGGAAGGGGAAAAGAGAGAAAGAGAAACATCGATTTGTTGTTCCACTTATTTATGCATTAGTTGGTTGCTTCTTTTGTGTGCCCTGACGGCAATCAAACCCCAAACTTTGGTGTATTGGGATGATGCTCTAACTAACTGAGGTACATGGCCAAGGCTCGCTCCCAATTTCTTAAAGAGTACATGGCTCCTTCTCTCGCTTGGGCATTCAGCATTGATATAACATGGCCATAGCCTATATATCCACTTTTATAACTAACACTGTTTAAGCCCTAGGAAAACATTTTTCCACATTTCTAACCTCACATAATCAAAACAGGGGATGGCTGCCCCTGAATGTGATAGAGCTTTGTGGGTTGTGCTATTGCTAAAGACAAAGTCCCACACTGCTTTGAAGTGTGGAGAGCATTTGAGTGATAGGAGTGCTTAGGTAAGAGGAAAGACAAATGAACCAGTTCTTCAAATCTTCTCTTTCAACAAGCATGAACAAATATTTCCATACTCAATTATTATTCTCCAGTAGTGCTAAGTTTTTTGTTTTCAAAAATTTAGCGTGCTTTCACAACTGTTGCACATGGTGGCTGAGGAATTTTTTGCAACATTAAATTGTATGTATATAATGAAGATCTAACTAAAACATTTATGAAGCATGATATCAATTATTTGCATTGACAGCTAGAAGGACAATAAATTCTGAATGAGGAATTGTTTTATTTTTGTAAACCATTTAATAACATTTCATTAACATTTTAAGAACTAAATTTTTTTTAATTAAATCTTTATTGTTCAGATTATTACATTTGTTCCTCTTTTTTTTCCCCCATAACTCCCCTCCTCCCAGTTCCCGCCCCACCCTCCGCCCTCACTCCCCACCCACTGTCCTCATCCATAGGTGCACGATTTTTGTCCAGTCTCTTCCCGCATCTCCCACACCCCTTTCCCCCCCAGGAATAGTCAGTCCATTCCCTTTCTATGGCCCTGATTCTATTATAATCAACAGTTCATTCTGCTCATCGGATTATTTATTCACTTGATTCTTAGATTCACTTGTTGATAGATGCATATTTGTTGTTCATAATTTGTATCTTTACCTTTTTCTTCCTCTTCCTCTTCTTAAAGGATACCTTTCAGCATTTCATATAATCCTGGTTTGGTGGTGATGAACTCCTTTAGCTTTTCCTTATCTGTGAAGCTCTTTATCTGACCTTCAATTCTGAATGATAGCTTTGCTGGATAAAGTAATCTTGGTTGTAGGTTCTTGGTATTCATCACTTTGAATATTTCTTGCCACTCCCTTCTGGCCTGCAAAGTTTCTGTTGAGAAATCAGCTGACAGTCGTATGGGTATTCCCTTGTAGGTAACTGAGTTTCTTTCTCTTGCTGTTTTTAAGATTCTCTCTTTATCTTTTGCTCTTGGCATTTTAATGATGATGTGTCTTGGTGTGGTCCTCTTTGGATTCCTTTTGTTTGGGGTTCTCCGCGCTTCTTGGACCTGTAAGTCCATTTCTTTCACCAGGTGGGGGAAGTTTTCTGTCATTATTTCTTCAAATAGGTTTTCAATATCTTGCTCTCTCTCATCTTCTGGCACCCCTATAATTCTGATGTTGGTACGCTTGAAGCTGTCCCAGAGGCTCCTTACACTATGCTCGCATTTTTGGATTCTTTTTTCATTTTGCTTTTCCGGTTGGGTGTTTTTTGCTTCCTCGCATTTCAAATCAATGACTTGATTCTTGTGCTCCTCTGGTCTGCTGTCGGGAGTCTGTATAATATTCGTTATTTCAGTCCGTGTATGCTTAATTTCTAGTTGGTTCCCCAATATAAGATCGAGGGTCTTATTAGTTTTCTTGTAGATCTCATTAAGTTTATCGGCGGCTTCTAAACAGCTCTTGAGAGACCTTAAAAGTGTGGTTCTGAACTCTATATCTTCCATTGACAATTTTGTCCTGTTTCTTTGTCTCCGCATTTTGTTATGCTTCCTTGGTGCACCCCCTAGTGGTCTTTGTTCGCAGTCTTATAGTTAAATCTTGATTGTTGTAGCTAATTCCAGGGAGGGTTTGACCTCCAGGCCAAGTGGCTCTGAGAATCAGCTGTGTCAGCAGTGAGAGAACTTCTGTCCTCTAGGGAGGTGCTAATCTAGCCTTTGCCTGAGGCTATCCGGCAAAAGCCTCTGTGCAGGGCTTGGGCGGGGCGGGTCGCACAGGATCAACAGGGTGGGCCTGAGAGAGCAGTTATGGCGGCTCTCAGTCCTGTCCCCAGGGGCTCTGCCTCTCTGAGTCCCAGCACCCGCTGCAAAGCTCAGAGAGAAAGCTGCACTCGCTCTGACCGAAGCCAGACAGTCCCGCTTCTCCCGTTTGAGTCTGGGTCCCTAAAGACTCGCCCGGATCTGGAGCTCAGAGTCTGCGACTCCCTCCCGATTGAAAACGCCAACCGCGCCCTCCACCGCCAGCCCGCTCCACGCACTCCGCACCTCAGAATTTGACTTCAGCACTGTGCCTCCTCTGAGTGTCCGTATGCGTTTCTCTTTCCTCCTAGTTGTAGGACTTCCACTCAGCCAGCGTTCCTGTGGTTCTGGGTGATGTCCCTTCCGTTTTTTGGTTTCACTTTTGAAGTAGTTGTTCAAAGCAGCAAACTCCGGCGTTAACCTATGCCGCCATCTTGGTTCTCCTCAAGAACTAAATTTAAAAAACTTTTATTTAAAATGTTGACATTCCCCAAGTGGGTGGGGCTCCAGCACAGAGGCCATGCCATCTTGAAAGGGAGAGCAGTGGTGGCTAGGAGCACAGTTTCACCACCACCCAGATTGGCCTTGGACACCATCCCGGACCTGAGCAGTGAGCCACAGGCCAGTGGAACCTTGTAAGGGACCCCTACCATTGGCTCTGGGACCACCCCTCCCTCACCACCACTGCAGTGACTTGCAGAGTTGCATGCCACTCCCACCATAAGTCATATGCCAATGGGACCTTGCAGGCAACTCTAGCCATGGGACGTGGGACCCTAAGCACATCCATAACAACTTGCATGAGGTTGGGATGAGGCACATAGTCAGACAACCTGTGAGGAGACTACAACTATGACTGGGACAATAACATTCAAGACCCATCTACATCAGGAGAACCCAAATAACTCAAGTAGGGGACTTTGCTAGAACACTCAGCCCAGGAGATCTGCGTGATGCACCAGTGGGTGCCACAAAACACCTACTATATAGGACCACTCCCGAAAAATCTGAATCACATAGCAGTGTGATCTAAGACATAGAAACAAATACAAAGCAACAGAAGAAACGGGGAGACAAAGAAACAATACCCCCCAAAAAGAAAAAAGAGGAATAGCCAGAAAAGGAACTAAATGAAATGGAGGCAAGTAATTTGCCAGATAAAGAATTCAAAGTAATGGTTATAAGGCTGTTCAAACATCTGACTGAGAATTACAAGCAACTCAATGAGAATTATAAGGAGCTGAATGAGAAATACACCAGAGTAAGAATCAAGAGGAAATGAAGAATGACATAGCTACAATAAAGAACACCCTGGAAGGTTATAAAAGTAGACTAAAAGAAGCTGAGGAATGTGGATAGGGTAGAAAACAACACCCAATCAGAGAAGCAATTGGAAAAAAAATTTAAAAAGCAGGAGAAGAGTTTAAGGGAGCTTTGGGACAACATGAAATGAAGCAACATC